CCTTCAAAATATTCTGTTGGGTGATTTTCTCCCCTGAAATTGTTTTATGTGTGCGCCAAATGTCACTCTTTCTCCCTATGCAGTGTTTAAGAAAGATTTCCAAATCAGCATTCAAAATTTTTGAGCAAATGAGCACTTGGAGCTAGGAATTTGAAGTACTTGTCCGAAGGGTGTAGAGTTATACCCATATACTTGGCCGAACAAACTGCTGCATTTTGCAGCCCACTAGGGTTGCCCTTGAAATTCTTATAAATCAGGATCACGTCTTTGCGTCAGAAAATATTATATTATTGTAAGAAGGGCGTAGAGTTATCCATACGGCTGCATTTTGCTGCCTACTGGGATTGCCCTTGAAATTATTATGAGTCAGGATCCCGTCATTTTTGCGTCAGAACATTATATAAAATTAAATTTGCTCGCATGTAGTTTTAGAGTATTATTTTAGTGTCTTGGAATATGTTTTTTTTTCCTTCTCATTTTGAATTGAAACTATATATCAACCTGACAAAACGCCTAATTGGTTGCTTAAGTGCAATCCATCAGCTGTCCTGTCTATCCATCATTTATCGACTAGAATAGGAAAAGTGTTTGAACATATTGATTTTTTTACATAGTCATGGTATAATCTAATGTTTTAAGTCCACACTGATTAACAGCATAGCCACCACCACAGTGACAAATGATTGGTTATAARAGATAGTCGATCATTACAAAGAAAATCTATAATTAGTCAGTAAGCTTAGTGATCAGCTGATGAGATGGATTAAAAGATTTGTATGCCAAAAAAATTTCTATGAAAAAATCATGCCACTGTGTAAATATACTCATTCAAAAACATGTATTTTCTTGAAAAAATGAGCCCACGTTTGTTGCTCTTTTTAAAGCGCTTTTCCGATTCTTTTGCTCAACAAGTACATCGTTAAAAAACATGGCTTTTTGATAGATTAATTGGGTCTCTTAATATATTTTTTTGTTTTTATGTCACACAGCTCTATGAAGGCTTCACGATCGAGTGAACTCAATGGTAAAAATTACAAATCAAACCGCAGCTGGTTAGAGTCAACGGAAATCAGACTTTCACTTATGTTAAATTTGGACCCGTCAGATTTCAGGCGACTTGGCATACATACATTTTGGTATTTTTTTACAATTGCAAGCAAAAAAAAACTTTATATAAAGCTTCTTGTATTGCGGTCAGTATGAGTTGGTCGCCACTAGTACTGTAAGTGACGGGTCAGCGAAGCCAGGAGAGTGTAGCTCGACTACGTTCATTACAAGCTAATAAGAAATACATATATGAAATATTAAAATTTTGGTATTTTTTATATTTTTTACCTTGTGGTATATGCATAATTCCAACTGTTAGTCCTCCAGTAAAATCAGCCAGAATGTCGTTCTTAAGGCTGTAATTAGGTAACCATTTTATAATGGGAAAACAGTTCGAAACGGTTTGAATATTACATCGCAGTCTGGGAATTATCTTATCTATGCTTCCAGTAATTTTTCCACAGAGAGAGCGACTCGTTTCTTTCTTCTTGGCTTTCGTGAATTGTTTGGTGAAGCTTTTTTCCGTGTAGACTGGTCTAGTAATGTTTATATGGAGAGATGATGGGGAGATTTTGCTGTTCTTCAGTGAATCACACATCCAGTATTATATTGTGTATATGATTTGAAATGTGTTACAGCTGTTTGGAATCGATTGGGAACACAGTCGTTCTGAATCGCCTAGCGTTCTCAAGCTAAAAAACAACGTGGACTTGGGTTACTTTTACGACAAAGAATTGTTTATGGTCACGGAGTCTTGTGTTCACTTAAGAATTGAGATATATAGTATCTAGATCTTCCGGCCAGGATCTTCAGCAGCTGGGCCCTCTTGTCTTAGTGACTCAGATACGTGTCAGTAACAAAGTCACGCAAAATATTAAGCAAATTTAAATAATTTTAAATAATAAAACCGATTCTTATTCGCCCCTGTGGCAATTTTAGTTTGAAAATATTCTTCTTCGCGAAACAGAATAGATCGAAGCTACACTTTTAAGAAAATGATTCTCGACTATTAGGACACATATAACGAGAAAACTAACGTGTTGTAAGTTTAAAAAAAAAATTATTTTGTGGAATCGTATCAAAGAGAGATATGGAATTGTTTGTAGTAGTTGGCAAGCGATGGAGATTCGCCACTTATTTCCACATATAATTTATACATGATCATTTGCAAATATATTTTATTCTAGATTTATGAGTGGATATTGGGTTTTTTAATACAGATATTTTGATACAAGATTCTTTGGTTGATATTAAGTGAAGTCAAGGCAAAGAAGGTCTAAAAGTAAAGCACGTTTAACTGATAAGAGCCAACTTTCTTGACCATTCATACTAATTAGCAATGCAAATCTAATCTGTACAATCAACCTTATCTTTCTCCTGCTTGGGCCCAAGAAAGCCTATAAATTGTTGTTGCCATGACTACCATGATACGACTAGTACTAGTGACTGGGYCCTACGACATCCCATCCTCTTTGCTAATAGACCCCATCCCTAATGACGTTTCACATACCTTAACTACCACAATCCTTTTCAAAATCTCTTTTCATATTTAAATATTAATACTCTTTTGAGAATTAACAAGATAATAGTGGAAATTAACATAACAAGAAAACCTACCGAAAAGGATTCTGGAAGTGTAGGTTTGAAACGTCATCAGTGCTTGAGTTATATTCACCTCAGTGAAAAGTTCAAAGATATTGGAACTACCTCATTGTGCATTGAATTGTGGGATTGAATGTGTGGAGGTCAAAAGCTTCGCTATCTTGCATCCCCCAATCATTCCCACAATCCATAGCAACATGGAGTCTTTACAGTCTTCGAGAGAGCGTCAGTAACGCGAGTAATTAACAGTCGTGATCTTTCAAATTTTATCGTTACCCTGAAACGACCTCTGGGCCGATCAAAGTCAGGGCAAGGCCTACTCACAGATCAGATCGGAATTTAGCTTGTTAGGTTCTGCGGAGGGAGGAAAACCGGAGAACCTCACGAATCAAAAGAGAACTTAACGAACTCTGCTTACATGTGACCCGAGTCCAGGAATCGAGCCCGCGACCCCATAGGTAAGAAGTGGGTACATTACCTCTACACAAACTCGAGCACTCATCGCTCTTTTTCTGGCTGTAGTTCTCTATGAGGYATATAATTATCTGATTCTAATCTTCTCACTATATACAGGTAGTTTAGCTATATTTATCTTTTTCTCTTAGCTTTTTTGAAAATGGTCATAGACATTTAGCTGCCATATTAAACCACCATACTTGTCGAAATGATCTCGTCCCATGTATTTGACCAGCTCGTCCTTGGGGAAGACAACAATGAGTCAGTCAAGGATTAGAGAGAAAATAGCAGCAATGCAACAGCAGAAATAAAATCCGGAAATAAAAGTTTATCTAAACTGCTTACCTCAACCTCATCATCGCTGACAGAGTTAATGATATTACAAGCACGATGAAGCATTTCTTCCCCGATATCATTTAAACAGTCACTGCAAAAAAGAAATTATAAACCATTCCAAAACTTCTCGACAGCATGAATTATTTAGAGTATCTCACCCCTAACCTCTTCCCCCACAGTGGGATGCTAGCGGTCCACCCACCCCGAGCATCCCCCCTCCCTTCTCCACCAGACCGATCTTTCCCAACAAGTCACCCCTAACCTCTTCCCCCACAGTGGGATGCTAGCGGTCCACCCTCCACCAGACCGATCTTTCCCAACAAGTCACCCCTAACCTTTCCCCACAGTGGGATGCTAGTCCATTGTAGCTGTCTAACCCACCACCAGCATCTCCCCCCCCCTACCCCCCCAGCATCCCCCTCCCTCCCCCCACCAGACCGTTATTTCCCAACAAGTAAATAGAAGTTATAACCTTWCGATCTCCTTCACTACCATAGAATAAMTGYAACAGAATCGTTAAGTAACTCACATTTTTAATCTTTCCAATCGGTCGTGAAATCTTCCTGATGAATTGGGAGAAGCTCCTGGAGTTAGAAGTAAAAAAAAAATCTAGAACCACACAACACTACCCAAACTAACAATCACGGCACACCACAACAACACCCAATAAGCCTGAAGCGAGATGACGTTTTATCCCCGTCTCTAGACCATAATCCTTTTCACACTGCTTTTGTTCTTTAATTATGAGTATTGTTCCTGTATTCTTAATAATTTTAATATGAAAGAATTTTAAAGACTATTATGGTATAGAGTCGGGGGTAAAACGTCATCTCGCTTCAGGCTTACTAACTTAAATAAGGAAACCAAAACTTGGTTGGGAATCTTACCTGTGGGTCGTAATACTTCATCATTGTCTTGGTCATTATCTTCTATTTCGGGTGACACACGATCAGCTGATTTATCATCCAGTTTCAAGGTTGAATCAAGTGCGGATATCAGAGAGCTCACTTCACTATTTTGACGTCTACTTTCGAAAAAATAAAACCAAATAGACTGTACATTGAAACTGTTACGAAACACAAGATGGAAGATAGAATATAGGGACGGCAAAGGAAAGGCAGAAAAGAAGAAGAGGATGGTAGGCAGGAAAGAAGGTGGTAAGAAAAGATAAAGAAAAGGGAGAAAGAAAAGAGAGAAAGAAAACAGAATTAAAAGTGTAAAAGAGAAAACACAAGAAAAGACGGAAGAGAGGAAGGGGATGATAGAAAGGAAAGACGGTGGCTGAAAAAGAAATAGAAGAGAAGAAGAGAAAGAAATGGCAAGCTAGAGAAGGGCGTAAATACGAATAAAGTATTGGATTGCTTGGCTGTATACAACCAAAAATCAATATAAGTCCACGATACGAGTCCAACAAGTTACCTCGGCTTAACAGGCTCATCCATACTAATCTCTTCCAGATCAGAACCATTACTATCATCCTCTGAAGATTCCTATACAAGTAGGTATTAAGCTATTAGTTTCAATAAATTTGAAATACACGGGTTTACTTTGTGGTTAGTACAAGATACAGGATGGGAAGTGAGCAGTCTCTCGACTCTTTTTACCGATTCAATCTGTTGTTCAACTTTCCTAGGAGGACCGTCAACAGAGTCTTGTGGCGTGCTGGGAGTAACAGAGGATCGTGGAGTCTCTGAGTAAAAACAACAGTAGAATAGTATAAAGATGATGCCTGACTGCATAAGACATTAATGTAAAAGACCAACAACAACAGTAGCAGCAGCAACAGCAGCGCCAACAAGAGAAATAAAGACTGCAACAACAGCAGCAAAAACACCAGCAAAAGCCGCAGCAAAAACACCAGCAGAACAGCAGCAACAGCACCACCAACAAGAGAAATAAAGACTGCAACAACAGTAGTAACAACGACTGCAACAACAGCAGCAAGGGTACGTCAGCAACAACAACAGCAGCAACAACAGTAGCAGCAGCAACAGCAACAACAGCTGCAGCAACTTGTAACAACAACAGCAGCAGCAGCAGCAACTTATAACAACAACAGCAGCAGCAGCAGCAACTTGTAACAACAACAGCAGCAGCAGCAACTTGTAACAACAGCAGCAGGAGCAACGACCGCAACAGGAGCAACGACCGCAGCAGGAGCAACGACCGCAGCAGAAGCAACAAAGATGACGACGAACAACAACACTTTTTATACAATAAACGTAAATAATCTAAAAATAGTTTTTAAACTATTAAGCCAAGGTAATTAAGCCAAGGTAATTCAGAATAACTTAAGGTTGCAGACTGTGACATGACACATTAAATCAGTCACATAGACTTGTAAGCGAACAGAAATAAAATTTAACAAGATATCCCTTGAAATAAAAGATTACAGCCCCTTTTTTATAATCAAAAACTGCCCAGTTTTTATTCCTTTTTAATTCGGAATTGTCTCTTACCTTTACTAGATCGTTCTTGAGACTTTCTATTTCGTATTTCCAGGGGGGAGGGGAGAGGTGGGGTATTGTACGGATCTGAAGAGCGATGGATAGGTGATCCAGATAGGCTTTGTTTTAGGCGGCGTCTTTCTCTTGCCGTTAGCTAGGACATAAAAATGGTTGAATGAATAAGAAATATGAATAAAAAGAAAATCTGTAATGAAACCTTTTCATGTCGAATCTACCCTTCTAAAATAGGTAACAAAGCATATATACCTTATTTGAATCACTGACAGATTGGGAACTGAAACCACAAAAGGAAAGGAAAAGTTGCAATTAAGCTTTATGGATG